TAATCTCTACTCACATGTGCTTAAAAAGACAAACCAAACCAAACCCAAATGACTAAACACTTCAAACACTCTGCTGCTTCTGATTTTACAAGGGATAGCACAGGCCTGTGAGAAGCAGCTGAAAATAATCACTTCAGATCCCTTTCCCCCCTGACCTTCCAAAGCAAGTTATTGCATATCTGTTCAAGTAAAAACAATTACTGTGTTAGAAATCTCTTCACACAAATGAGAACTGTACATCTGCAGTCTCTGGGGACATCAAACAGAAGCAGCAACACTTTCTCCAGTGTCCCCATGATGTCACTGTATAGGAGAATTAACCTTCCCAGTGTTTGCCAGGCAAAGGCATACTCAGATACTCAGAATTTAATTCTTCAGCAGGTAAAGCTCTTCTCTCCTGCCACCGCTGAAGGCAGTCAGCATCTTATCCATTTTTTATCCATCTGTCTGGACAACTGCAACATCAGCTTTTAATTTTCAAGAAAGGTCTAGCAGTAAGGGAAGGAAATTCAGGTCTTGTTGTCAGATCACAGAATGGACACCCTTGTCGGAGTTTTGCCTCTAGTTTCCAGAGTGGGTACGAACAAATCTCTATAGATTAGATTATATATATGTAGTATGGAGTGCCTTGTTCTTTCTCTCCAGTGAGAAGACTTGCAATAGCTGATCTTCTTTGGCATATGTTGAAAAACCAGATGATGTTTTCATATATTGTTCTTTCATTTATATTTCCTTGATTCTATGACATCTGTGGCTTTTGCCTTTGCAATGCCATTCTACCAAGTCGTGGTATATCTAGCATATTAATATATTGAAATGAAAGAAGAAGTGCCTGTTTCACATGAACAGTTCATGCCATAAACAGTTCATTGGCAGTTGTAATATTGGCAGCATTACAGATGCTATCTCATTTCACATCACACAGATTCAGTTCTCTGTCTTCACTGTGATCACTATAAATTGTACATCACAGGGAATGTGACTAAGTAGGAATGCCCGTCCTACATTCGTACCTGTATACTTGGCAACTCATGTAAACTCTTTTTCTTTATTTTGCCTGTATGTAAGATTGCTATGGTGATCTTTGCATACTTTATAAAACAACATCAAGATGCAAGCTGCTGTTCAGCTAGGAAATGGCACTGGGAGAATCCAAGTATTTAATTTGCCCTCTCTTGCCACAAAGGAGAGCTCTGTAAGCACTGCTGGGGTTCTGGTAAAGTGTTGTAGGGTCAGTCTACCCTTCCCCCACCTTGTTACTGACAGTGGAAATTTCCAAGGTTTTTGGCCAGCTCTGACTTCAGTCCATAATATGTTTCATATAAATGAGTGAAATAAAACAGATATGTACAAGACATTTGGGATTATAGGGCTTGTAGAAACAGGTTTTTCATTGAATGGTGTTCTTCTGGGATCATAGATAAACAACATTTCAGCATTCTACGTCTTTATTTTGCAATATATATCGTAATTTCACAAAACTTCCTTATAATCACACAGGAGAGGACCCATCTGCCCAGCCATTGTTAAACTCCATCCCCACCGTAGGAGACAATATGTACTGGGGCAAGAATAGAGGAGATGATCATCTTCTAACAGAAAAATCCCCACTGGTTTATGCTTTGCAGTACAAACAGGTGACGATAAAACTGAGAATACGGAAGAGAGAGATACACAGTAATTGTTTTTACTTGAACAGATACGCAATAACTTGCTTTGGAAGGTCAGGGGGGAAAGGGATCTGAAGTGAATATTTTCAGCTGCTTCTCACAGGCCTGTGCTATCACTTGTAAAATCAGAAGCAACAATTTGAAGTATTTGTTCATGTGGGTTTGGTTTGTCTTTTTAAGCCCATTTGAGTAGAGATTATTTTACACATAGTTTATTTTAATGAGCTTTCCTTAGCCACAGGAGAGGTGCAGCAATGCAATGTAGAGGTATGTGAAGTGTATTTGAGAGACCATAAGAGATGTTCTGACTGCTGACCTGAAGTTATCGTTGGGGTCAGAAGATAATCTAGTATGTTGAGTGTCCCTGTACCGTCTGTCAGTTTCAGTGTCAAGAGCAGTGTTTTGAGTGTTGTGGATGATTGGCCATTGCCGCCTTATCTTCAGCAACTACCAGCCTTTGCCTCAGGATACAGTAGAGGGAAGGCAGAAAAGCTATTTGTTGCTAGTCTGTTGATACAGGAAACACAAGTGGGCAAGATTCTAGGGGTGCTCTAAACTGATGTAGCTGATTTAAAATAATTGATAGCTTTATGAATTTATACCCTCCTGAATTATACCGTTTATGAATTTGTACCCACTCAGATCTATATTTAGCATTTGCCTTTATAGGTCTCGCTAATGATTTTCCTGCTTTCTGTCCATTCTTGGAAAACTCATGCTTCCCTTGCCCTGCATGTGTTTAGGGCTAGTAATTGTGGGTAAATTCTTTTCCAAAGCACTAGAGGGCAGCAACAGGATGAGCCCTCGTTTCCCCTACCGGGCCCTGTTATCCAACAGAGCTGATAATCATGGGCAATCACAGTTCTGAGTGCTGGCACCAACACCATATCACTAATGTTTCAATTGTCTTTTTGCTTGTTTGTTTTAATGAGTCCTCATTTATCCTTGTGTGCATGAAAGCAGACCCCAAACACGCAAAGTCTGCCACTTGGATATGGTCTGCTGGCTTGTGCTGAGTACTTCTGCCTTTGCATTATATCACCTCTTGGTTTAAATACATGCTTAGGTGGAATGGCACAAAGAAGCTCCCTCTGTGCACAAGTTCGTGTTTGAGTCCTTCTTCCCTGAGGCTTTCTCATTGTTGCTGCTGGCCACCTCCTGGCACATTGAGCTCTCCAGCAGCACTGTTAGAGAACAGCTATTACTGATATTGAGCAAGAATGACAGAACTGAGCTGTGCCATCTATTTGGTGACATTAGACACAGCTCTTGCCTTGATACACTCAGCACTTTTGGTTTTGCATGGCAGGTTCACTTTTACTTGAGGCCGGATAGCAATACATCCCAAGCTCTAAGCCTCTGGTGGATTTGTTAGCAGACACCAGCATTTGCCATTGCTTTCCTAGGCAGATACTGACATAAGAGAGATCCGGCTTTGTACAGGGAAGAAGGAAAGAAAAGGAACTGGCAATGGGAGAATCCAGGGAGTATATTTTATTCTGTCTGAAAGATCCATATTGAAGACATGAGAAAGAGAAGGAGCAGGCATGCTTATGGCACTTGCCAGGACCTCACACTGCACGGGAAGTAATGTCACCTTCCTTTCTTGAAGTGGTAGTGAAACATGTACCTCTATCTTAACCACTGAGCTATTCAGTGATTTTCTGGTAGAGATTTATTTGCCTCTGCCTTTGTAATTATTTTCCTGCTCTTTCCTGACATGAACCCTGCAGGATGAACTGCATATTTTCACTCACCTCCTGAAATGCAAGCTGCTGTTGTGTTCATTTGGTAACTGTAAGACAAATGTACTGGGGAAGAATATCACCAGGCAAGACCGATTGGCAGGTTCAGGCAGAGATCCCATTGTAATTAGACAGGCATTTTCTGGTGCAGGCTGTGCTTTTCTTTTTAAACCTCCTAGTTTCAGATGGGTTATTAGTTGCTGCTAATGGTGTATTCACTTCCTTAGACTTACCTACTGCTAGATGTCTTTTGCAGGTGCTGCTCCTGAAGTGTCTTTTCCTTCCCATAAATGTCATAGCTTATGATTTCTTCTGTACTTTTTGCTTTCTTGATTGGAAACAGCATATAGAAAACCATGAACAAAAGCAGTCAGTGCCCCCTCATTTTACCTGTGTTTTCAGGTAATAATGATATCAAGTTGTCTAGGGGAAAGTCAAAAGCAGGATTTGGTGTGCTAAGAGATGATCTGGAACTCCTAGGGGTCTTCTTGATGCTCTCACCATATTCACCCTTTCTGATGTTTTCTCACCCAAGACTTTGCTCAGTGAGAGAGCACACAGGTAACCACCATGGTTTGTGTTTGAAGTCTTTATTCTCAGAAGCAATACATGTATCTGCTCTCTCCTAGCATGGCTATTTTTCACATCTGGCTAAAAAATGCACACGCTTTTAGAAACTAATGTGACCTCCAGAATGTTCTTGATCTGCCTGTGTCAGACTGAGATCTCTGCCTTCTCTTGTTACACTGACAAGTCAGAGCAGTTGCATGAGGACTGGAACTGAAGATTGACTTCTTAAGCCAGGGGTCTATGTGGTGGTTAGACCTGTGTCTGACAAGATGTTATCTAAAAGCCTGTGATAGCTGAATGTATACAGCTGCTCCACAACTGGTGTGGAGCACAGGGATGCAATACACTGCTCATATTCACAAAATGCACCACAAAACCTCTTGAAAAGGGTGTAAGGTGGTCAAAAGTTCTGAGAAGAATGAATATCAGCAGAGAGACAAAAACCTGTCAGTAGTTTGGAGAAAAGTGGTAAGTGTCTCCAGAATCAGTCTATCTAAGCTGCAACCTGCAGCTGGTCTGCAGGCTCAGAGCATTTTTCTCTGAGCTGGGAACATCCCTCAAGCCCTCTAAGAAGTCACTACTGTCCAAGGTGTGTGGGGTAGGTCACACCCCACACGAGGTGGGGAAAAGGATAGCTCTGGAAGTGATCATTCTCTCCAAAATCATTATCTGGGAACTTTAGAACAAACATTGATTATTCAAATCTCAAAGCCTTGATTTCAACATATACAAATGTTCCCAGTCTGATTTTCAAGAAGAACTAAATGCAAGAATGGCTTCACTGAGTCACGTCTGACCCTGAAATACCTGAGAGATACCTGAGGCAGGGTCTGTGGAAACCGTGGAGTAGAAGTGTCTGGTCCTGCTGTGCTGAGAGGATCAAGTGATAAGGACAGCAGCAGCAGTGCTCAGAGCACTAGTCCACACACCCTGACTTGTCAGCATGTCAGAAACCAGGTGGGAACCTCACCCAGGAGAGGTGTGCACAAAGGAGAGCCTGTCTCCTCTTGCACAGGGAGCTGTCTCCTTCCCTATGTAGATTACTACTCTGTCTCTTGTTTGGAGCTAGCCATGACGATTATAAAAGCACCATACAATTTTCTTGATTAAATATGTTTTTCACTATAAAGCATCTAGCAAATTATCTGAGTGTTTCAGTATTAACAGATTGAGAAATGACTGTCATTCATCCAGAGACTTTCATGAGTGTGGCATGTGACAGCAGTCTCCACTTGGTTAGCGTGGAACAAAAGAGACCTCATAAGGTTGGGGCATATTAGCCACAGAGGTAATTATAGGGGTAATGTCAATGTCCTTGTGATCCACAACAGGTTTCAAAGTAAAGTTCTGCAGGATGGATGTTAGAAATATGAATAGCTCCATCCGGGCCAGACCTTCTCCTGCACAGATGCGTTTGCCTGCAAGCGGAAAATAAGAAAATGTGAGGAAGAGTGGGGTAGTTTTAACCATTGTTCCATGAAAGTTCAAGCATCTCAGAATGGACATGCAGCATTTGGGGCAAACAAATTAAACTAGGAGCTAAGCATCAAGAACATTGAAAGTGCTCAGTGGGCAAAGGCAGTTTGAAGGCTTTGGTTTCTCATTTTCTGCTTGGAGAGAGAGTTGTGTGGATGGTTCCCACTTCCTACATCTGTTGTGCCACAGTTCAGTGGAAGAGTTTCTGTGATCGCTAAAAAGGGAAGTCAACAGAAACTCCAGTACACGGATCAGAGCTGCCCAGAAGTAACTGTAATGGATCACCAGACATCACTGTACAGGCCATGGTGACAGAGCCACTAAAATCTTTAAAGAGGTCTTAAGGGAGGATAGCCTAGTATATGAAATAGAAAGAGATCTTACCTGCAGAGAATGGCATGAAGAAGTCACTCTTTTTAAATGTACCATTTGCATTCAGGAAATGTCCTGGGTCAAATTTTTCTGGATTTGGAAATTCTTTGCTATCATGTAGGACTGGAGTCAGCAGAGGTAATACCATTGTGTCCTGAATTAACAAGGAGAGGGGAAAAATGTTAAACTGGAGAAATTTTAAAGCAAAGAAGCATTGAGAATTTCCCAGAGTAGGTGGGTACTCAAAGCTTAACCAGTTTAAAATGAGCATTTCATAAATCAAAATGCATGCCATTAGTATGGCAAACATGACCTTTTTGTGTGAATTTTAGTGGTGAGCCTGATTAGATTATTGAATATTTCTTCTAAATAAATTAGAATTTTGCTTATATCTACATGAAAAAAATCAAATAGAAAGCCATCTCCCTCTTCACACAGAGGACTAAATGCTTCTTAAATTTTTTTTTCCTTTTTTCAGGTACAAGGCATTAAACTCAGTAATATGCAGAATCCCCTCGCAGACAGAATTATTCTAATTCTAGATCAAATTTCAGTGTTTTTGAAAATAAAATAAAATACAGTGAATAGAACATGTCATTGTTTTCAAAAGATTATGAAATTTCTCAGACCTTTGGAATGAAATAGCTTCTGAACTTGGTGTCTTTGATCACAGCATGTGGGACATTAAGTGGAACTAAATCAATGAATCTCTGGATTTCATGGATTACAGCATCTGTGTAGGGCATCTGACTCCGATCTGCCATGCAGGGGCTTCGGTCTCGGCCAATCACATGGTCAATCTCCTTCTGAACTTTCTCTGTTGTTAGGAAATAAGTAAGCATTGAATGGTCAAGTCCCGCACCTGTTTGCCTAAACCTCTCTCCGTATTTACAGCAAAACTTGCTTTTAGCGCACCATCGATATAGGAAAGTGCTTAGTGGTAGTATCCCTTTTCTGTGAATAGAACATAGGGTAATACACATGTCTACACTGCAAATGAAGGGTTCCTTAGGGATCTGTTGTCACATGTGGTAGTGACAGGAATCGTCCAAACTGATCCCACGACCTGACAAAGTTTTTACTTATTTCCTTTTCTATTACCTTGTATCTCTGGGTATTTCTGGAGAGCCAGAAGTCCATGTCTCAGGGTGGTGCTGGTTGTTCCTGTTCCTGCGAGGAACAAGTCAAGTGTGGATCTGGTCAGGGACTCAACTGTGAATACTGAGTGACCATTCTCTTTCTCCTGGAGGAAGATTTGGTAGAATGTTTTCAGAATGACAAATGTAAGCAGTTTGTTTGAAAAGGAAATTCCTGTACTCATAAAGTATGTTTAAAAATACATAGAATCACAGAATCATAGAATAGTTAGGGTTGGAAAGAACCTTAAGGTCATCTAGTTCCAACCCCACCTGCCATGGGCAGGGACACCTCACACTAAATCGTGTCACCCAAGCCCTCGTCCAGCCTAGTCTTGAATACTGCCAGGGATGGAGCATTCACAGCCTCCCTGGGCAACCTATTCCAGTGCCTCACCACCCTAACAGGAAAGAATTTCCTCCTTATATCCAATGTAAACTTCCCCTGTTTAAGTTTTAACCTGTTACCCCTTTTCCTATCACTACATTCCCTAATGAAGAGTCCCTCCCCAGCATCCCTATAGGCCCTATAGGATGGTGTTTTTAGTAAATAAAGCATGAAAAGTCTTTAATATGGGAGGAGCATGGAATTCCATCAAATTTAGATGGCTACAGTTGTTAATTCTGTGTTTAAAAGTCCTAGATAAGATAGTGGAGAGGACAGGATGAAGTTGATGTGCCAAGAAAAGCAAGTTTCCCCTTGTATTTGCATAAGCCCAGTGCCCTGCCACACCTACATTACCTGGTCCATTTTGTTAAGGAAAGCATCGATGAAATCTCGAGGACAACTAGGATCCCAGGTTTCCTGGTGTTGTGCTGTGATTTCTAAAATAAATTTATCAACTTTGCCAATATTTTTCAACATTTCTTGATGAGGCCCAGGTAGAAACTCCATGAGAGTTGGGAAGAAATTGTATAGCTGTAAAAACAAAATGATGGAAAAGCACATTCTGATTAATGTGGATACAATAAAGTGTTCCATAACTGTTAACTATGAAAATGAGGCAATTCAACTGTTTTGGAGGTGTTATTATTTAACTGTATCCTACTTTACTTTTACTTTATTGTTTCACTGTAGTCAAGGATGGATTTCAGTTGAGCAACTTTTGCAATTATATCCTTCTTTGGACATATAATGGCAGTTTGATAAGGTAAGAAGAAGCAGCAGGAATTAGTTATTTAACCGCTGGTTTGGCTTTCAGAAAATTTATCCAAATTTAAAATCCAATCCAGTTAAAAATAATAACATGAAAAAATTATCCATTAATAAAGTATTATCATCATTAACAAATGTATTCAATTTAACTGTACACACCTGTGTTTGTATAGTATTCTGGTACTTAGTGTTTTCTTCTAGCAAATCAATTAAAGTTAAAAAATTTTTGTCCTCATAGTCAAACCGATCCCCAAAGACAATGGAGCAGATGATGTTGGAGACAGCATGGATCAGGAATCTGCCAGGGTTGAAGGGTCTCTCTGCAACAAGAAAAAAAAAGAGGTATATCTTGCTTTCAGTGTTTCAGGCATCTTCCCCTCCTCTAGCACTACAGGGAGCTTTGCATCCTCTTGAAACCCAGAGTTTTGCAGTCCTTTGAAAGGGTGGTGAAGGGCTTACACAATTTTTCCTTCTCTACTTGAAGTGAACTCATTTCCCTGTATGAGTCGTTTAAGAATCTCTTTTGACGTGTTCTCAGGAGACCATTGGTCTGGAGGGGGTTGGTTTCTTTTCAGATGACACAAGTGTATCTTGTGTCTTCTGAACTTACAGACTGGTTACTAGAAATGGCCTGAAGATTCCCAGTGAAACCAGAAGGACTTTGCCTGAGCCATGTCTTTAGGTTACTGCACCCTATTAATGAACTCTATTCGTTTAACCTCAGTTGTATAGCTCTCTTCTAGGGATTCGAATGCCTGTGATCGAAGTCTAGTTTAAAAAGCAAGATTAGACCCAGGAAAGAAAGGAAAGTTACAATTTCAGATAGCGATAGGGTGCATTTCAAGGTCTCAAGAGGAGATACAAAGCATGAAAAGGTATCAAATCCCAAAAGAAAAACAAGGAGTCAGAAAATTTCAATTGGGCAGTATTGAGGATCAACCTATTCCAAGGAGCAATGGCAGCAACCCTTCTCTGCCTGTCTAATGACTCCCTAGCCATTGAAGACTCAGCAGATGTCTCCTCAGAGTTTGTGAATGTATAACGTCATGGTTTAAGCCCAGTCGGTAACCCAGAACCATGCAGCCGCTAGTCCACTCCCCCGCTTCTTGCTCATCCCTGCTCCCAGAGGGATGGCAAGGAGAATCAAAAGAATGTAACTCCCGCTGGTTTAGATAAGAACAGTCCAGTAACTGAGGTACAACACAAAACCACTACTGCTACCACCAATAACAATGATAAGGGAAATAACAAGGGAACAGAATACAATCACTCACCACCCGCTGACCAATACACAGCCTGACCCGAGCAGTGATCTAACCCTTCTGGGTGACTGCCCCCACTTTATATACTACGCATGACATGCTGTGGTATGGAATACCTCTTTGGTTAGTTTGGGTCAGGTGTCCTGTCCCTGACTCATTCCGACTTCCCCTCCTCCCTGGCAGAGCATGAGACTCAGAAATTCCTTGGTTAGAATAAACATTACTGAGCAATAACTAAACCCATCAGTGTTATCAGCGTTGTTCCCAGGCTGGAAGTTAAAACCACAGCACTGCACCAGCTACAAAGAAGGAGAAAAGTGGCTGTTACTGCTGAACCCAGTATGGTGTCCGCCCCTTATGCCATACCATGCATGTCATGACCAGATCCCACATTTTTCAATATGCCATCACTTTTGTCTCATATATATATATGTGTGTGTATATATATATATATATATATATATATATATACATCCACAGGGAGGGAGAGAGATCATTCTTTAGTGCCTGGACCAACCCCTATAAAGCTGCTGAGTTCATCCAGACCATGTAACAGTCTTTCAGAGTAGGAGACACAGTGTGCAGTGTTGTATTGTTGCCTGCTGATGACACTGCAGAACTCGTCTGGTTTCATCAAAGTTCATTCTTTGTTGGGATGATGGTCGGAGGGAAGTCAAGGCCAGTTGCTGGTGACCTGAAGAGATCTAGTTGGTGTGCTATAAAAGTGCAACATAGCAGGCAACAGCATATAATTGAGTTCATTGGCTGTTTTCCCCTAAAATCAAATCCCCTTGAGGTACGTATGAGACTTCCCCATCTTCCCGCATTATTCACCAAGTATATCTGGGTCCCTGAGCAAAAGCAATTCCACAAGTGGATTTGCTTTTACCTGAAGCAGGAATAACCCAGACTGTCTTCCCCAGCAAATTCTTCATGTGCACCACAGGAACTTTATCCCCTTCTACAATATGTAAAAGTTCCGACTGGGCTGGGACAACCCTGTTGACAGATCCTCCGGTGTTGACCAGCCAGGTGGCTTTCGGTAAATAAGTATCCCAATGTTTGAAAGTCCCACCACCCATTGCTCTCAGTGTAGTTTTTAACAGCCCATTGTACCGTTCGATTTTCCCAGAGGCTGGTGCATGGTAGAGGATGTGATATACCCACTCAGTGCCATGCTCTTTGGCCCAAGTGCCTATAAGGTTGTTCAGAAATCAGTCCCATTGTCTGACTCAGTTCTCTCTGGGGTGCCGTGTTGCCACAAAATCTGTTTCTCAAGGCCCAGGATAGTGTTCCGGGCAGTGGCATGGGGCACAGCTGTTTCCAGCCACCCGGTGGTTGCTTCCACCATGGTAAGCACATGGCACTTGCCTTGGCGAGTTGGTGGGAGTGTGATATAGTCAATCTGCCAGGCCTCCCCATATTTGTACTTCAGCCATCGTCCTCCATACCAAAGTTTAGCTTGCTTAACTGCAGCGCATGTTTCACACTCGTGAATAACCTGGGCAATAGTGTCCGTTGTTAAATCCACCCCTCGATCACTAAACAATCTATATGTTGCATCTCTGCCCTGATGGCCTGAAGTGTCATGGACCCACCAGGCCAAAAATAATTCACCCTTATGTTGCCAATCTAGGTCCATCTGAGCCACTTCAATCTTAGCAGCTTTATCCACTTGTTGGTTGTTCTGGTGCTCCTCAGTCACCCAACTCTTGGGTACATGAGCATCTACGTGGTGTACCTTCACCACCAGGTTATGCACCTGGGCAGCAGTATCTTGCCACAGTTGCAGCAGCCCAGATGGGTTTACCTCTGCGTTGCCAGTTGCTCTGCTTCCATTGCTGCACCCACCTCCAGAGGGCATTTCCCACCATCCATGAGTTAGTATAGAGATAAAGTACTAGCCACTTTTCTTGTTCAGCAATGTCCAAGGCCAGCTGGATGGCTTTCACCTCAGCAAACTGACTCAATTCACCCTCTCGGTCAGCAGTTTCTGCAACTTGTCTTAGGGGACTCCATACAGCTGCCTTTCATCTCCGATGTTTTCCCACAGTATGGCAGGACCCTTCAGTAAAAAAGGCATATTGCTTTTCACTTTCTGACAGTTTTTTTCCTAAAACTTTGCCCTCTGGCCAGTCCATCATGGCTTCTAGAATGCCTGGACAAACTGGGATTTCATATACGAACTCGTTGTATATTTAGTGCAGCCCACTTACTCCATGTAGCATCTGTTGCATGATGTGTAGAGGAGACCTTGCCTTTGTACATCCAGCCCAGCACGAGTAACCAGGCTGCCAGGAGGAGCTGTGCTTCAGTGCCAATCGCTTCTGAAGCAGCTCGAACCCCTTCATAGTCTACTAATACCTCTTTTTCAGTTGGGGTATAGCTGGCCTCAGATCCTCTGTATCCCTGACTCCAAAGGCCAAGGGGTTAACCTCAAGTCTCCCCTGGAGCTTTCTGCCAGAGGCTCCAGGTAGGACCATTCTCCCCGACTGCGGTGTAGAGTACATTTTTTACCTCTGGCCTGGTGCGGACTGGTCCAAGGGCTACTGCATGAACTAGCTTGTGTTTAATTTGCTCAAAGGCTTGTTGTTGCTCAGGGCCCCATTTGAAATCATTCTTCTTTCGGGTCACATGATACAGAGGGCTTACAATTAAACTGCAATTTGAGATGTGCATTTTCCAGAACCCCACAGCACGCAAGAAAGCTTGTGTTTCTTTCTGATTAGTTGGTGGAGACATTGCTGATATCTTGTTGATCACATCTGTGGGGATCTGGCGATGTCCATCTTGCCATTTTATTCCCCAAAATTACATCTCCTGTGCAAGTCCCTTAACCTTACTCCGTTCTATGGCAAAACTGGCTTTTAGCAGGATTTGGATTATTTTCCTCCCTTTCTCATAAACTTCCGCTGTATCTCCCCACGTGATAATGTCATCAATGTATTGCAGGTGCTCTGGAGCTTGCCCCTGTTCCAGTGCAGTCTGGATCAGTCTATGGCAGATGGTAGGGCTGTGTTTCTGCCCCTGGGGCAGTTGGTTCCAAGTGTACTGGACGCCCCTCCAAGTAAAAGCGAACTGTGGCCTGCACTCTGCTGCCAAACGAATTGAGAAAAATGCATTGAGCAATATCAATCGCGGCATAGCACTTGGCTGCCTTTGACTCCAGTTCATGCTGAAGTTTTAGCGTGTCCAGTACGGCAGCACTCGATGGTGGTGTGACTTCATTCAGGCCACAATAGTCTACTGTTAGTCTCCACTCACTGTTAGACTTTCGCAGTGGCCATATGGGGCTGTTAAAGGGTGAGCGGGTCCTTCTGATCACTCCTTGTCTCTCCATTCTATGAATCACCCTAAGGACAGGAATCAGGGAGTCTCAGTGCAATATTGTCGTCGGTGCGCTGCTGTGTTCGCAATTGCCACTTGTTGTTCTTCGACCTTCAGCAACCCCACAACAGAAGGATCCTCTGAAAAAACAGGCAAGGTGGACAGCTGCTCAATTTCCTCTGTCTCCAAAGCAGAAACACCAAAAGCCCATCAGTACCCTTTTGGGTCTTTGAAGTATCCTCTCCTGAAGTAGTCCATGGCAAGGATGCATGGAGCCTTTGGACCAGTCACAATGGGGTGCTTTGGCCACTTCCTCACAGTCAGGCTGATTTCAGCCTCCAGTACAGTCAACTCTTGGGATCCTCCTGTCACTCCAGAAATATAGATGGGTTCCACCCCTTGACAGCCTGCTTGCTTCAGGGTACACTGTGCACTGGTATCTACTAGATCCTTATATTCCTGTGGGACTGATGTGCCAGGCCATCTGATCCACACAGTCCGGTAAATCCAATTGTCCCCTACCTCCACCTGGCTGGAGGCATGGCCCCTCTAATAGTCATCACAACATTGGTCACTTACATCTTGTTGACAGCGATTAGGCTTCTTTGTCACAGGAGCTGGAGTAAAGACAGCTCCTCCACTGCATCTGGGAACCTGCTCACCAGAGACTGAAGCCACAGCTTTCATGGGATGATCATCTTTGACATTTGTTCTCCTCTTTGATTCATACACCCGTTCCTCCAGAGCTGAGTTAGGTTTTCCATCCCACTTTCTCATGTCTTCTCCGTGATCCCACAGGTAAAACCATGGGGTGGCCCGTGGCATATACCTCCTGTATCTTCTCTCTCGAGCAGCAAGACGCCTTTTGTTAATAGCTGAGATGTGGGTTGGTACATGTGGGGAGCTGGATAGATTGGATAGATCGTCTCTCAATTGTTTGAACTTCTGGGACAGTTTTTTCACAGTTGCAATGATGGAAGGGTTGAGATTGTCTTCAAACTCTCAGAGCTGATGAATCAGTTCATCCACTATTGGTGGTGCTATGTCATGCCAGGTCATTGATGCCTGTCCTGGGTTTAGCAGTAGCAGTCAGTTTTTCTCCTTCTTGGTAGCTGGTGCAGTGTCGTGTTTTGACTTTCAGCCTGGGAACAGTGCTGATAATACCGATGTTTTCAGTTGTTGCCAAGTAATGTTTACCCTGACCAAGGACTTTGTGAGGCTCATGCTCTGCCAGGGAGGAGGGGAAGTAGGGAGGAAGCAGAGACAGGACACCTGACCCAAGCTAGCCAAAGAGGTATTCCATACCACAGCACGTCATGCCCGGGGGGGGTAACTGGGAGTTACCCGGACAGACACAGGGTCTTCTGGGTTGGACTCGTTTCTCGGCAGGTGGTATTGTGCTCTCTTCCCTTGTTATTTTCTCTTATCATTGTTGTCGTTGGTGGTAGCGGTGGTGATTTGTGTTGTACATTGGTTGCTGGACTGTTCTTGTCTCAACCCGTAGGAGTTGCACTCTTTTGATCCTCCTCCCCGTTCCTCCGGGAGTGGGGAAGCAGAGAGCCCCGGTGCGGGGGGGGGGACGACAGACCTCGATTGTTGTCAGCTCGGCACCACTCACTGGGAATGAGTGAACAAGCTGTCTGGCTAGGTTTTAAACCACGACAATGCCAAAGGGTGGGCATATGATGCTGGTGCACTCTGTAAATTTTGGCAACGTGGGCTGTGTACATCTTTAACCTGTCTTTAACTTTATCAGGGTTCACTCTAAATTTAATCCAAGCCTGTGGCTGCTCACATACAGCAGTCCACAGCAGAGGTTCCTGGGAACAAGTGTCGATCATATAAAGGGTATCTGTGTTTCAGCAGTTAACCAAGACAAAAGAGACTCAGTGGGACTGAGCACAGGTGATGCGACAACAATGAGAATTCAAGATTTCATCTCCTTTAAAAATATATCTGCTTTTTCAACACAAATACTTAAACCCTGCGGTCAAAATCATGTCAAGGGCAAGGAACTAGAGATTCAGATAAGAAGTAGGACTGGTGGTTGATTTATTATAGAATCATAGAATCATAGAATAGTTAGGCTTGGAAAGGACCTTAAGATCATCGAGTTTCAACCCCCCTGCCATGGACAGGGACACCTCACACTAAACCATGTCTCCCAAGTCTCTGTCCAACCTGGCCTTGAACACTGCCAGGGGTGGAGCATTCACAACTTCCTTGGGCAAGACATTCCAGTGCCTCACCACCCTAACAGTAAAGAACTTCTTCCTTATATCCAATCTAAACTTCCCCTGTTTAAGTTTTAACCCGTTACCCATTGTCCTATCACTACAGTCCCTAATGAACAGTCCCTCCCCACCATCCTTTTAGAGTAGAGGGGCAGGATCACCTCCTTTGACCTGCTGGTCACGTTCCTTTTGATGCAGCCCAGGATACGGTTGGCTTTCTGGGCTGCAAGCGCACACTGCCAACTCATGTTAAGTT